AAAAAAAAAAAAAGAAAAAATGGTGCACCTGTGTAAAACGTTCTAAAGGGCTGACCAACCCGAACTTGTGATTGTGGAGACCTTGAGTGTGGCAGGTCTGGAGCCAAATTATTCTGGGCTGACTTTAGCCCACTAAATAGTCATTTATTGTCCACCTCTATGTCTAACCTAACGTCTTTTCGGGAATGTACAAACACATCCCTAGCTTCCACCAACCCAAAGGCTAAGAATGTCATCAGATCTGAGTATCTGAGGCTTCAGCAGAGACTTCCCCACTTTGCTGTAACCCACCTACCTGCTGATCCCACCTATGCATTTTTAAAGCACCTTGATTTATGGCTACTTTTGTTCTGGTTACTTCATGAAATTGTTACCATGTTGGAACATGCAATTTGGGGCAACCTGAATTCCTGTTCACAGGCCATGGTCACTCATTTTTGGCCCCAGAATAAACTCTTATTCCCTTTGAGGCGAGAGCTCTGGGCGTATATAGGGCTTGTTCCCCCTTCCCCTCTTCTTAGAGTTATAATGTCTTGATTTTCTCCGGAGGCATAGGCTTCCCAACAACATTAGTTTGGAGAATTCCTGTACCTAGAGCATTTGCTTCTGGACCCTAAGCATGGCTCTATAAATGTTTTTGTTCCATTTTTTGTTCTGTTTTTTTATTTAAAAAAAATTTGCACATGCTAAGCACAGGACTCTGCCACTCAGATATGCTCCCAAACTAAAAAACTGAAACAGTTCAGAGACTAGTGAGATGGAAAGAGCTGTGGAACTGGATCACAGACCGACTCTAGAGACTAAACGGCCCTGTGCAGGTGAATTGTATATAACTCAGTGATTTTTGTTTTAAATGTATGGTTTGACTCTTCTGTATGATTGCTGGCAAGTCACTGATATCCTTCAGTTTTCCTATCTGTAAAATGAGGATAATATTTGCAGGATTGTGCTTAATCCAGAGGCTGCCACATGGGAAACATTGGATAAGTGATAGGAATTATTAGTATTATTTTAAAATTTATTTTTTAATTTTATGTGTGTGAGTTTTGCCTGCATGTAAGTGCCCCACCTGTGTGCAGTGCCCACAGAGGTCAGAAGAGGGTGTTGGATCCTCTGGATAATTATGGACAGTTGTTAGTTGCCGTGTGTGCTGGGAACTGAAGCCAGGTCCTCTGCAAGAGCAGTCAGTGCTCTTAACTGCTGAGTCATCAGTCCAGCCTCTGAACAGGTGTTTTGAAAGCTAGACGTTAGTTTGCAAACACCCTGTTAAGGCATCATGTAATCATTAGTTTTCTTTTCTTTTTGTTTTTTTTTTTTTGTTTTTTTTTTTTTTTTTTTTTTTTTTTTACATTTTTTTACAAATTTTGGAAAAAAAGAGGACGATAAATCTTTCACTGTGATATATCAAAATAA